CTTTTTGCCCGCGCGGTGAAGAAACGCGCTTCTCTTCCACTGCTGCTGATGCAACACACACAACAGAACAAAGCTGAGGAAAAGAGGAATAGGAGCAGAATCAGGTGAAACACTCGAGCAAACAGTCACTCCAGTAGCTGGAAAAGGAGTCCTTGTCGCTAAAAGCCCGGATGCAACGAACGCAGTCGGCTGCGTGGCCCATGGTGTGTCGACGGCGCCGAAAGCCCTTTTGGTGCAGCCCGCGTGTTTCACTCGCCTTTGTTCTCCTTTCATTACTTCGCGAAGCGCAGTTGTTGCGATGAACACCCATTGTGCTTTGTGAGTGCTCAGCATTATCTCGTGGACTGTGTGCTTCTCACGCTAAACAGCGTGTTTTCGGGCGCAAAGCAGCGCTTTTAGTACCTGTGGTGTGTGTGTGTGTGTGTGTGTGTGTGTGTGTGTGTGTGTGTGTGTGTGTGTGTGTGTGTGTGTGTGTGTGTGTGTGTGTGTGTGTGTGTGTGTGTGTGTGTGTGTGTGTGTGTGTGTGTGTGTGTGTGCGAGAGAGAGAGAGAGAGACAGAGAGAGAGTTACAGAATGAGAAACGCGCCCCTTATTGCTCTGAAGCCGGAAATCCGCCCAACTGCTTGCAGATGGGACGCGAGTGCTCCAGTGTGAGCAGCGTCCTCTCGGAATCGCGACGGTCTTGAGCAGCGCAGCAATGTGGACCAGTTGGTATTACTTCATAGTCAAGCAGCACAAATACTGCCGAAGCGTAATCGTATGAGTGCGTTGTTTGACGTTGAAGACTACCAGGCTCACCGCGCCAGATGTGGCAAGTTCCGCTTCTCCCGTGATTTCCAAACTTGGCGCAGCATCATCACAGGCTTTATCCTCCACGTAGCGCGTCGCCCTGCGTGGCATCTACCCCACGTGTGGGCCGCTTTAATAAAAAACGTCGAGATGGCTGCATCACCTCAGCTTACTTGGAATTCTTTCTGCCCTGCCTGCAGCACATGTCCCTGCTACCATGTACAACTGCACCCGTAAGTTTACGCAGAACGGGCTGAACTGAAAATGCGTATTTCTGCGATGTTAGTGCGTGGCGCTTCTAACCTAGTACGTAGCCGTGTCAGTCGCAAGTGCTACAAGCTGGAACGTCTATTTGGTTAGACTGTGTTCTCAAACCAAGTGGGAACATAGCTTTCTGAGAAACTTCATGCACCGGAACCTTTTTGGGGTGGGGTTACGTTCAAGAAGTACTTTTTTATGTAACTTTCACATCCATGTAACAAAAAACTTCGCAAACACTTCTTTGGTCCCATAGCCTAACTGGCTAGTAGAGGGACCAATTGTGTGAGATACCTACATACTTGCGCAAGTGGTTACACAGCGACAAAGGATATCAAACTGGATACAATGTTTAAAATAGAAAAAAAGCTAAAAACACATGATTGAACTATAGAAAGAAACATAGCGCAGAACATAGCTACTTATAGCACAGAATATTATTAGCACTAGAATAATAATAATAATAATAATGATAATAATAATAATAATAATATTAATAATAATAATAATAATAATAATAATAATAATAATAATAATAATAATAATAATAATAATAATAATAATAATAATAATAATAATAATAATAATAATAATAGTAATAATAATAATAATAATAATAATAATAATAATAATAATAATAAATGACTATGCAGACGTATTACTCAGAAAGTTCGCATGAAGTGCGTGCTTCATGGCCAATGAAAAATTTCTAGCCTCTTTCACATCAGTCGGTATCGCATTCCATATGAGAGCGCCGTGAAATTCTATGAGCCTTCGACCGTAGGCATTTCTGGCTGCCGGTAAATTAAAACAGTGATTCGCTGCAACTCTTGTGCAGCGCGCGGGTAACGTAAAGGTGCCTAATGGGAATGGGTCATCACGTTTTATTATTCCATGCACTATATCAGGAACACTAGACACGTGAACAGAGTCCAGTGGGAGTACACCCATCATTTGAAACAGTCGTTTTGCAGTATCCGTCCTGTTTGGGTATGTAATAATCCGGACTGCCCTCTTTTGCAGGCGGCTAATACATTTCAAATGAGTTTTATATGTACTGCCCCACGATGCTATACAGTAGCTCAAGTGACTGTGCACGAATGCAAAATATAGGATGCACAAAATTGATGCGCCAAAATATTCACGGGCTTTTAGTAGCGTGTGACACCCATATGCTAGCTTGGAGCATGTCTTTTCTATATGCGATTGCCAGTTTATGTCCGAGTCAAACATGATTCCTAAGTACTTAAACGAAGCTACTGGCTGTAGCAGTGCCGTATCTAAAATCAAGTTGAAACCTGCGAAGTCGAGTTCTTTTTTTCTAGAGTGAAAGACCATGTATTTAGTTTTCTCTGTGTTGATATTTAGGTGGTTTCGTTTAAACCATACTTGTACTCTCTGTAACTCTTCAGTGTTCCCTCTCTGTAATTTGAGAGGGAACACTGAAATTACCCTTTCATTGTCATCGCGGGTATACACGCCGTCAGGGAATTCAAAAGTATTGGTCCCACTGATTGCTCAAGCTGAGAAGCGGACCTGCCAATTCCATATATCGCACTCATATCGGTACACGACAGGTAATCGTTCTTTATTCACGAACAGCACTTCCTGTTATGTCGCTCATAATTCTACGTGTTGCAACTGTAATAAGATCATGCTGAAACAAGGTTTTGAAAAAAAAAAAAGACGTAAACCACGTAAACCTCTAGTACTTGTTTTTTTTTTCCTACATCACATTAGTCCCCTTCTTTGGGCTCAAAGTGGGTATAAGATGATCAGGATCAGTCACGTCGGATGTGTTAATTTAAACAGGGTGACTTAAATATGCTGCAATTTCTAAACTTATTGGGGCTTGATTGTAGAGCTTAGGCATCGTTTACGTACTTTAGGTGTATTCGAGCCTTTCTGATGTGTTTTTTTTTTCTTTTCAAATGCTTTTGAGTCTTTGTGAAGTGCACTCAACCTTTGATGACTGGCGCTGCGCAAACAACTTCGACGGCTGCTCGACGAATACTCAATGTCCGCTTTCTTCACTTCGGCCTTTGTTTGCTAGCTTTGCTGCATCGTTTCAAAGCCCCGGCGCCAGGCAGCCACCGCGCGCACTTTTTTTTTTTTGTTCGCTACCTTTTCAGGACTGCGCCGTTATCAACACGTTCGCACGCGTCGCCAATGCAAAGGTGAATGCCTCCAATTCCGCCTGCACGATTTGCCAACGCGCGCTCAACTGCCTGTTTCCTGCGTTTATTTTCTCTCCCCGCGCCACGAGCTCTCGGCGTAAGGGCTCAGGGCTCTAAAGCCGGGCGCGAGCTCGAAAATGAGAATGCTGAGCGCCTTCTGATTGTATATATAGGTATACGAGTTGAAAGTTTCTCGTGCGAGTCAAAACCCAGCGAAAGGTGCCAGACGCCGCTCTGCTTTCACAGAGATGCTGTTCATTCCTCCGCAAACTGTTTTGCTGGTTCAGCTTTTTTTTTTTTGTAGCGGGCGAAATGGTTCCAGTTGAATCAGCTACTTTTACACGCCAGTGGGCCTGGCGCTCGCAAGATCATTTCATCCTCCCAGTAGAACGACAGCCATTTGAGACCGTGAACGGCGCGCACAAACAAATTCACTGAATGGTACCTTTGAATTTCGCAACGATGCGCTAAGTGCGTTAGTGTTTATCATCGCTCACGTCTCTGTTTTCTTTAAGTTACCAACTTTTGTGTCATTGTGTTCTCATACCAACTCTTTCTCCGCTTTTAATGGTTCCTGTTTGTGCATGTCGTTATTTAGGCAGACGTTATGTAATAATAATAATAATAATAATAATAATAATAATAATAATAATAATAATAATAATAATAATAATAATAATAATAATAATAATAATAATTTTAATAATAATTTATTACTATATTTTGAAAAAGCAGAAGTGCGACATGAAATCGGTCTGCCAAAGCCTCATTGGGCTTGAAGGGCAAAGCGGACTACAGACAGCGGAACGGAATATTCGTGAACAAAGACGTAGTGTACGTTGAGCAATGTGACAAACTCCAAAATTCATGCTGAGAATTTTCACAACATCGCATGCACCCGAAAATTGGAGCATTGAATTCAAAGTGCATGCCTAAACAATTTGCATTATAATGGACCTATCAGAACTGGTGTGTTCCAGTCTTGCGAACTTTGCAACGACCGAATGCTTAACAGAGTCATGGGCAAGTACTTGGCTGAAATCGCACCGGTCCCGTATTAAAAAAACGTCTTGGGTTAAAAATTTTTCTGAGAGAATATCTGAGCCAATCAGTGTTGCGAGATATATCAAACGCGAACGAAGCCGGCAGACTAGTAAGAAAAAGCACTTCCGCGAGATAAGTTTGGTAAATGCGGCCCCAGATTTGCAGGCAGCTACCACCACCAGTGGCAAGGAAGGGCAGACTAATGAATCGCGACTGACAGTACTAACGAAGAAGAAAAACCAAAATAACACTTAAAAAGAAAAATATTTGGGGACAGAAAAGGTAATTAAACACGATGTCATGCAGTCGCATCGTAAGTTCTCTTGTTTTAAAAACCGCAAATATTCCTCAAAATTGGCTATTTTCATGAGGTATAGTGATAGCGAACGAATTTTGATATCGAAGCGAGCGTTAAATGTAATCCTCATACAACATAACCGAGTGTTAAATGTAATCCTCATACAGGCCCACACAATTCTGAAAGATGTTCGCTTCCTTATGCTGCCAGATATTCCTGCAATGTTTAGGTGAATCATTCAAGTACGTCGGACGTCCTGCTACGGAGTGGTCGGACGGAGATACGTTACTGCCATTCGCGGAGGGTACTTCTTTTTACAGACTTTACTCTCAGCCATTCATATATACCTGCTGCATGGAGTGAAAAGAAGGGGACTTTACTATGGCCTGTTGAGAGGAGTAGGGTGGACGAATGAATGAGGCTAACGAACTCGCCTTTGGCCCCCACTGTCATCGTCGCCGCGTTTAGACCCGAGAGTTCCGCCGGCGAAGCTCAGCTTCCTCGGCTGGTAGGTCGGCACCGAGAGCCTGCTGCTCTCGGCTACGGGCACGGTGGCGACACTCCTGCGACGGGACTCGCTCAGGCTGGGCCTTCTCTGAGACCCGAAGGTGCGCGTCTGAGAGGCGTCGGACGTGGGCGAGGGCAGCTTTAGCGTGACCGTGGCCGCTCCGTCACTACGGCTGCGCCGGTCTCTGACCGATGCCGGCGACAATGCTGCCGACGCTTCGCCGGGCTCGCGCTGTTGTTGATCGCGCTGCTGCGCCGAAGAGTCGTCGTCGCCTTCGTCAGCGCGGTCTTTGCCTCCGACTTCGTCGAACCCTGGCGCGAGGTCCTTGGCATCGGTGACCTCCAGGTGCGACGAGGACACCGAGGGTCTTCTCCGAACCGACGCGGCGGGCGGCGGTGCGTCGCTCAGTTCGGGGCCGTCGGCCTCGCCCACCGTGTGCTCCTCGTGCACCCTGCGCACGTTTAATGAAGAAACAGGATAGGGCTGTGACAAGTGTGTTTCGGCCCGTTCGAGCGTAGGACGCGTGAGGTATGAGTATTTTTAGCTGTATTTGTTGTCACTAAACAAAACAAGAAGGCAGGTGCGTTGCGTGCGCGCGTTTTTGTGCGTGCTTGCAAAACAGCTAGGGCGAAAGCGGCAGACAAGTTGTACCAAATAAGTGAGTTCTTGTGCGCTAAGGCAAAAAGGTAAAACTGAAGTTATATATGAAGCTGTACATAACCAATCGGTCGTCAGAACGTAGGAGTATGAATAGGGGCAGCATTAAAACGAAAGTCATAATTTAAATATGCGGTATAAGTAATTACTGTTCTCGGGAAGGTTCAGGCTCTTTGAATTCCGCCGCTTTCTGAAGGTTCGGTGAACAGAAAATATCATTTCTAATTCACCTCATAGTTATTTTTGGCCTTATAAAATATTTCTGAAGACATAGAGAGGAGAGTACACGCATCAGAGTTTTGATCATTCTGCACACAACCAAATACGTTTAACTCTTGTTTGGTGTTCATAAGTTTATTCCAAGTTGCTTGCTTGCAATATTGCAGAACGACGCTCAGCTCACTGTGGCATTACAAGTACTTTTATACAATACGCACATTGCCCGAATGACTTTCGTCATTCGGATATCGTAGGTATTGTATAACAGTGCTTGTAATTATCACTGTCAGATCCACCAGCACGCGATGCTCAGGTGGTACTCTGCATATGCGAAGAATCTATCTATCTATCTATCTATCTATCTATCTATCTATCTATCTATCTATCTATCTATCTATCTATCTATCTATCTATCTATCTATCTAACTATCTATCTATCTATCTATCTAAACTATCTATCTATCTATCTATCTATCTATCTATCTATCTATCTATCTATCTGTCGATCGATCTATTGATTGTGTGCTTACCTGTCTTCTGACTGGTCACCGAGAGCCTGCTGTTGGCGTTCACTCTCTTCCTGCTTGCCTTCCCTTTCGACCGTATCCCTCTCTTCCTTGGGTGGTGGTGCTGGTAGCCTGAGCAGGTGCACCTGGTCCCTGACGCTCGTCTCTTCGACCGTGGTCGTAGACCGGTGCGTAGTCGTGGTCGTTGTAGTGGTCACCCGGTGCTGCTGGTACGGTCCGGTTCCCGCAGTGCCTCCGTTGGACCACTGGTACGTAGTGGTGGCAGTGGTGGCGCCACCAGCGACGGCTCCGTTATTGCCGGCCGACCGACGACCTTTGCTCGGTCGGGACAGGAGTAGCCGCGTGGTGTCCAAGGGTGGCAAGAAGACGTCCGGGCTGGAGAGGGGTGGCGGGGAGATAATGCCTATCCCTGCGAGTGTACAAGAAACGATAGCGCTAAGGAGAAAAGCTTAGATTACTCATCGAATGCGAATATTCACAGACGGTGTGTGAACATGAGTGGTGCCAAAAAGAATAGCCGAGTGAAGACGTCATCACGTTGCCACAGGACGTCATATGACGATGACATCGCCATTGTATGGCATTGTCATATTGCCACAGAGACTGTTTACAATATCCGACATTATGAAAAATCAGCATCCACAGTCTTGTGCGCACTCTTGCTTGGGGCCGCACGACTCATGCCTCTTGTTCACAGGCACGAGCCAGTGTGGGTTGGAGCTGCGAAAAAGAAGAAAGTGCGTGGGCAGAGGAACGATTTTTGTTCTTGTTTCTGAACGGTTTTTGATCTTTTCGCACATAATTTTCAGGGCACAAGTTCGCCCATAATAAACTAGTTTTTTACTTTTCCTCGCTTGCATTCGTTACAATATGACATCATATGGTGACATGGTGACGACGTCGTCGATACTGTGACGTCACATTGTGACAGTGACGCTACGGAGACGTCACATGACGTCATGAATCGCCACAACTGCTGCCATTATAGTGAGGTCACTACGACGTCTTCGTGACGTCACAATTCGAGGTGATTAAATGACGTCACCGCATGGTGAAAGGAGGACCGATCACGGAGTGAGTGCAAAACATTGCGAAGTGCAGAAATCTCGCAATGCCTACCATGCAGGGCACAAAGTAAAACTACCAAATAAGGTACAGGTAGTCTTCTCAGTGGGGTGGCGAAGACCAATACATCGCGCAAGAATAAAACAAAATATAAGACTGTTTTCGCCTTGAAGTAATCTTAGGCGGACGCACAGGAGACCCTGGGAGTTTTCTTTAGGTTTAAAGCCTTAAAACCACCACGTGATTGTGAGAGACGCCGTAGTAAAGGATTGCGGATATTTCGATATAACACCGCTCGTCGACGTGCTCCTAAATATAAGCACTCGGGCCTTGGGCATTCTACTTCCATTAAAATGCGGTTACCTCGCCTTTAATTTGATCCCGCGACCTTCACATTAGCAGTCGCTGACCACAACTGCTAAGCTACAACGGCGTGTAGACTATTCACATATCGACAGAAAAGATTGACAAATTGATCACGCTGACTTCATAATTTTTGCTTCTAGTTTTTATTTATTATCTGACTGGGTAATCTACAAGAAAGCCTGTGTCGTTTAGAAGTTAACTTTCTAAAATCTGTGACATTCAACGACAGTCCATAATAACTATAGGCTGGAGGCTAATTGAAAAGCAGGCAGCACGTTAAAACATTCGCTGATTTCACGTTGCTGCAAAGCTACTACTCTATTTATCGGGCTAGCTTCATTTCTACGTCGCTCAATTCTTTGAAATTTATCGCGTACCAACATTGTGCCGCACAAATAAAAGGAGAATAAAAGGAACACAACGTCGGCTTAGCACTATTCATTGACTTTTGTGGGAGCGATATAAATTTCCGAAGTTTTCCAAGGCACCCCTTACGAGCTGATACTGAAAAGACCATCGCCAGCTACCATCACGTCCGCAGGTGCGTGTGCAAATGCGTAAGAAAAATCGGTGAGCGAAAGTGTAGGAGATTTTACCATGCTTTTCGTAACGTCAGCCGTCGAGTGTGTCTCTTCGCAAAACATCCGCTCCACTCCGCACATATGCAAAAGGGCGCCTTCACGCGCCGAATGCAACCGTGCAAGTATAGTTCCGGGAACCGTATGCCCCGAACTGACCCAGACGCTTCGATCGACAGAACGCTGTGAGCCAACGGAAAAGGCGGCCCCTCTCGTTTTTTTTTTTCTTATAGCGTGTTCGGAACGTAGACCCATCGACGCGGCACTTGCCACTCTCTCTCTACGCGTGCCACTCCAAATGAAGGTCTACAAGGCGTGCCAATGAAGGCTCTGTCCACCTCTGCCCTTTACGGCCTCTTACTACATTCGCTTGTTCATCGCTCCTTTCCCAAAGCTTCCGCTTTTCTCCAGAGTGCGAGTGTACCGCATGAATGGGCGTAATGCCCGCGTGCCTTGACAGAGTGCTACGAGGTGGCACTAAACGGCGACATTTGATTTTTGGATTTCACTTTTAAATATGTTCAAAATGACAGCAAAGCTTCTCTTCAGAACAGAGTTTTCTGCCATCGAAACAACATTTTCGCCACCCGGTTCCAAGGACTTCGAGCAGTCACTTGGGGCACCGCCATCATTATTGACGGAGAGTGGGAAGGGACAGGGGTTAATCTCGTCTTCCCCCACCTCGTCCGGTGAAAACTACCGGGCTTTAATTAAAGTTTATTCACTTATTCATTCATCCCGTAGTTGTCACAGATTCCTGACGCAGTGATGTGAATTTCTGTTGTGCAACAGCTTGACAACAAAAGTGTATTCTGTCCCCACGTCCTGTTGAGGTGGCAGACTTCCAACTGGAATTGTCGTTCACACTCGCTGCATCTTGACTCTAGCATGCAGGGTCATTTAGGATTATTAAGACGAAAGCCTTATATATAGTTGTCTCACCATACCCGAAAATTGACCGTTGGCGTTGTTAATGCCGGTGTCAACACGAGTAAGTAGAAAAAATTATTATGACGTGGTCGCATCAGCATGTAAGTCATCAATCGCCAAAACTTTGTGATGTCAACATGGTGTCATCGTCACATTGCTATAACGTCCCATGACGTGACGTCACACCAAGACGTTAACACACGACATCGTCACTTGGTTAGAAGTGTGCTGATCACGGAGGCAATGCAAAGCCCTGTCAGCTGCAAACAGCTCTTATAAGATGCCGGGGGGGGGGGGGGGGGGCGGAATCAATACGTCGACTCGGATGATTAAAAGGATGTAGAAGGTGCCTTCGACATCCTTAAGATGTTAAAAGATGTAGAAGGCACCTTCTAGAAAAGGATGAAGAAGGTACCTCATATTCATCTTAAGCGAGTGTGTAAGGACCCTGCGAGTTTCTGCTTCTTTTTTTCAAGCGATTTAAGTTTTTAGCAGTTCTGGTCGTAAGGATCTTCAACGCGGTACGCAGATTTGCCGTTGTTTCTTTCCAGGCGAAAAAAAAAATTTTTTCGTGCTTTTCTAACTACGTTAGAAGCTTTCATAGCGAGTTGCAGAGCACTCGCTTGATTTGGACCACGCACTGCGTCTCCACCTGCGTGTGATGGTGAGCGAATGCATTGATCTGCGCCGCTGGCTCTTAACCACTGCGTCAGTCATGTATGGTCCGAACCGCTGCACTGTGCTCGCTAGGCAACGACGTTTATAAACCACGTGCGTGTTCGACCCAACCTTACCCTCTCGCGTGGCAGGTGACCTTTGTTGGATCGCGCACCTTTTTTTTACGACTGCGGGCATCGAGGCGCGATCGATCTTGCCAGACATGCAGGTATGCGACATATGAAAGAAACAAAAAAATTAGCAGATCTTACGTACAGTGGAAGTCGATGATATGCGAAGCACGAATGAGTAAAGGTGATAGGTCACTTTAAAATCAGCGCAACGTTAAGAGGCGGAGGTAAATTATGCCGTGCAAGACTTCCATGTGATGGTTATCACATTTGGACGTTTCATTTACCTTCGTCATCTATTAATGTCACCTGATACCAACTTTGGTATATATAGAGTTAGCAAAACGGCCGCGAGCGTGCTATGAGCGTCGCATGTAGTCGTGTTTTACATGAATCCGTATTGTGATTATCATGCTTGGACGTGTCATTTACTTGCATCGTCCATTCACGTCATGTAATACCAAATTTGGTATATGTGGAACTAGCGAAATGGCCGCGAGAACGCTATGAGCGTAGCATGTAGTTATGTTTTACATGAAACGCATTTTATGATTATCAGGTTTGGACGTGTCATTTACTTTCGTCGTCTATTCACTTCCCGTGATACCAAATTTGGTGCACGTGGAGCTAGCGCAACGACGGGGAGTGCGTCATGAAGGGCCCGGTATACTCCGACGCAACGTTGACGCACGCGCAGGCTGGGCGCAGCGACGCCACGCTAGGAAAAACGCCAGCACTCTAAAGTGCGACGCCAGGCACGACCGGCGCGACCAGCGTCGTCGGCGCGGCCTGGTGGCGACCGCCGCGAAATGCAGCATGTCGCATTTCGCACCGACGACGTTACTTAGACATCACCGTGTCTTCCTCCCTTCGTGACGGAGGGACGCCATGCGCGCTCAAAGGCGCATGCGTCAAAGCAACGCAGCGGGACGACGACGAAGTGTCTCTTCATAGAACGCTTCTGCTTTCGGCTCCGAGCATTGTTATCAAGTTTTTCGCTTTCTACGGGAGACGCTGCTCCCTGCCCCAAGGCGACGGACGCGGAGTCATCCACTGGTCCGCCCAGCCAGAGGTCTGCTATGGCGAGCTCCTCGGTAAATCAGCGCGCCTGGCCCAGAACCAGTGAGGCCAACGGTGATAGTCACTGCATCATGGCTGTGGACGTGGAGCCTTCTGCGGCTATGTCCGACCATAGACCACTTTTGGCAAGCTCGTCGCGGAAACGAAGCACCTGTTCGAGCACCAGCGAGGACACAGAACTGTACTCGGCCACTGGCGACGACTCGTCGGATGACGACTTCGAGACCGTGAGAAGCAGGAAGGCCAAAAGAAGAAGTATCAAGTCGTCTTCACCAGCAGGGACATTAACGTCTCAGTCAAAAGGAGAATGCTGGCCGCACACCATCCTCTTCATGCCCGAGGACTCCACCATCAGCCTTCGAGCAGTAAACAGGCAAGCTCTCTCTATGTACTTTGAGGGGGTAGCACCAAACGACATTAAGGATATCCGGGTGAACACGCGGAAGAATATTCTAGCTGTGGACACAATGACTGCCAGCGCCATAGACAAGCTTCGCAGAGTATCAGATTTGGGAGGCATCAAAGTACGACCGGTTATTCCAATGGACGGTGCCTGCACGGCGGGAGTAATCTACGACATTGATTTGGCCATAGCAAACTCG